TCAGAGTTAATAAAATTTACTTCAAAAGATTTCCCCCAATGAAGAAAATCAGAATCTTTTTTGAAAATACTTTCCTACAAGGATGTAGGGGAAACATGTTGAGCTTAAGATTTCTAAGGGAAATTACTGCTTTAGGATTAGAAAAGACAACTTCCTAAAATAAATTTGATAAAATGATAAACATAGATAATTGTGTAACTTTAAAAGCAACTTATATTATGGTTCCACTTAAAGTGGGACTAAATTATTTTCATAAATGAACTAGACTTACAAAGTATATTCATTTTGTTTAAGGCTGCTAAGTTTTAAAAGATTATTTCAATAGCTAAAAAAAGTGATAAAAATTTTGAGAATAGTTTTTTCAAAGGCACAAACATGGTGAATATTAACACAAAGTACTGGTTGATAATGGGGTTAAAATTAGAGATTTTCCCTGATAGATTAAAAAAGACGTTTTTTTCCCCCAAAGTCAACTCACTTTTTTCAACTCTTCATAAAACCAGCATTAATTTTTCTATTAACAGGCAAGCTATTACCATGAAAATAAAGGTTTTCTGAAACATTCATAGACTTTTTCCTACTTTTCTCTTTTTTATTAACAAAAAATGTGAAATCATTTTGTGGCATAATTATTAATAATCTATTTTCATAAAATGGAATGATTTAAATGTAGTTTCCAAAACACGCTGTAGAAATATCTCTTAAAAGACTGTGATTTAGATTTCCGGGAGAACATGGCGGACAGATAACAGCAACTACCGGAGGCTCTCTGAAAGGCTCGGCTCAAAAGTCAGGAATGATGCGGACTAAGGAGACATGAGCCAGTAGAGATATGCCCTGCTGACTCAGGAACAAACTGGGCTGAGAGAAACCAACTTGGAATGCAGTCCTGGGGCTAAAATAAGAACAGAAAAGATTCGGTGTGGAGGCTGGACCCCGCGCCATTGGAAACTGCGATTTGGGTTTCCCGCCGCTAGCTTGGCGGCTGGCTGCCTCCACAGCAGCTTGGCAAGGAGAGACGCGCAGAAACTCTGGGAATGGGAGTCTGCGAACGGAGTCGAAAACAGGACGGACAAGGAGGCGTACACTGACTTGTGGCGAGGTGAGTGAGAGAAACTGACACTCTACCACAGTTTGACTCTGGCGGAGGACTTTCTGGGCTCGGGCAGTCCTGTAAGAGCAGGGCGCGGTGGCGACTCCAGCCACACATTCCCCTCTCGGATGGGATTGGTGAAAAGTGCCTGGCCTGCGTGACGCTGCGGGCGGACTTGGTAGGCTGGCCTAACCCAGATCCCAGAGCCTGATGGTGGCCCGGAGGGGCGACTGACTCCCACGTAGGCTGCCAAGTCCGTAACTCCCTGGCGCGCAGCGGTGGGCGGGAACACCTAGCCAGCACAATTTGATCAGGCTGTGGCTGACAGGCAGGGAAGCTGGGCCTCCTATGTAAGCTTGCATATATATAAGAAACAGAGAATATGGGGAAAGGAAGCAACAAGAAAGGCTCCTCGGCCCCCAATTCTGAGAAACAAACAATAGCAGACACCGCACCAATAGACATTAAGCACCATATAGAGAGCCTCATAGACCAATTCAGGAATGAAGTTATCAACGACCTGAAGCTAGAAGTATGCAGAATAGTTAGAGAAATGCTAAGCACCACCCAGGAAAAAACAGATGGTGGAATGGAAGAACAGAAAAAGAGGGGAGAATTGTTTGATGGAGAAAACAGAGAAAGCATAGAGTACGTGAAGCAGGTTCAAAGGGACTATCAAGAAATTAAGAAGTCTATCCAAGACTGGCATAACAGCTTGAAAGAAACTAAGGACAGACTATCTGAACTGGAGGGCAGACTTGTAATATGGGAGAATGAAATGAAAAACTTCTTAAAAATAACAAAGAAACAAACAGCAATAATACAAAGACAAGAAGATGATAAGAGGAGCCATAACTTAAGGATTAAGAACATAAAAGAAGAAGTAGGGACACAAACAAGTGAACTACAAAAGCTACTCACAGAAATAATCCAGGAGAATTTCCCTAATTTAGCAAAAGGTAAAGATACTCAGATGTATGAGGCATACAGGACTCCAGCTACCTACAACCCTAACAGAGAAACACCCAGGCATATAATAATAAAAATTCCAGAAATTCAATACAAGAACAGAATATTAAAAGCTGTAAGAGACAAGAAACAGACCACTTACAAGGGAACACCCATCAGAATTACAGCAGATTTCTCTGCACAAACCATCAAATCACGAAGAGCATGGGGGGAAATAATTCAAGCTTTGAAAGATAATAATCTCCAGCCACAATTGAGATATCCTGCACAACTGTCCCTGGAAATTGATGGAAAAACAAGGTGCTTCCAGGATAAAGAGGAACTGGGGGAATTTGCAACCACCAATTCAACCCTATAGAAAGTATTGCAGGATATTCTAAAAAAAGAAAAATACAAAGAAACCAGAAATAGTGGCGGGGAGGCCACAACGAATGGAGCAGAGAACAAAATGAAGAAGACAAACTGACAGCTACTGACAGAAAAAGAGCTCAACAGAAATGAGACAGAGAAGATTGGATGATAGGAACAGCTATTTTGGAGAAAATGATATCTTAATAGGTAATACTGATTTAGTATCATCTTGTTTTGAAGTCTCATCTAGCTTTTGTTCTTCTGTCTCCAATGGTCTAAACAGGTTGTATCTTATTGGATTTTATTATGTACGATAGGATAAGCAAAAACCTTTTAAAGACAAGGAGATTATACAGAAACCACTGTTCATTTTCTGTTAGTCGATTCTAAATACTCTGTAATGCTGTCATTCTCTTAAATGGTTTTACATTGTTTTGATATACTTAATGCTACAGTATACGAAGTTGTACTTAAGGACTTCAAGGAAAGAGTCAATATGGTAACTACTTTTGGGTCGGAATTATCTGGTGGTGAAACACTATTCTGCTTAAATGGTTATGTTTTGATCTGCGCTGTTTCGCTGTTATGCCCTCTTTTTTCTCAATCTCCACTCCATTATTTACTTTTTTATTTTTATCCGTTTAATTAAAGGGAAAAAATAGCAGGATATATTATAGTAACCCACTTTGACTTTCTATTATCTTGATTTGAAGCCCTGTATTACTCTCACCATCTTGTTTTTGACTGATGTTCCCCTATTCTGTTTTGATGGATAGTATCAGGTTCGAAAGTTTAGGCATCAGCTGTGAAGATAATGAGATTCATTATAACGCCCATTCTTGTTGACTTTTATCTACTTTTGAAGACCTACAATGTCTCCAATGTTTTGGTTTTGTCGGTTTTGTTCTTTACTGTTTTGTTCAATTGTATTATAACTAATGATATAGGCAATTCTATTAGAGATAGCGGGAGGCATTATGGTAACCATTGTTGATCACCTTGTATTATGTTTTTATATTATCTATTATGTCCACCCTTTTGACTTGACGGATTCTGTTCTGTTATGTCTCATTTGGTTTTACTCTCTTCCAAAAAAGTAATAAGAACTGTGGGAGCAATGAAACCCAAAATGTGTAATAGTCATTGTACAAAAGAGAGGAAAAGAAAGTGCTCTAAACTATATAACTGCATGTATATTTAAGTGTATAAGATAGAAAATGATATCACAGAGTTTTATTGGATCATTGAACAGAACTGTTTGCAGTATCATTGTTGGAATGTCCACTCTACAAGCTTTAATTTTGTGACTTGAACAATTATTTTTAAGATGGCAATATGTAATCCATTAACTAATGATTTCCTACTGTTCATTTTTTTCTTCTGTAAATCTGTATAACTTGTACCCTTTCACTGTTTTTTTTCTTTTCTCCTTAAATAAAAAAAAAAGACTGTGATTTAGTAAATACTGCATTTGTCACAGATGGTTACAGAGATAAACCTACTGTTCACACTAGCTCTTTTCTCAAAACTTTTCTGTTATTAGAAGTCAGACACATTATAGTTAACTCTGAGATAAAATTAAAATGAACTTCTTATATAATGAAGAGCTGGTAGTATGGGAATTTCATTTTGGTCATCAGTCCCACTCAGATTGATAAATCTGATCACCTTTGATTTAAATTCAGTGATTGTTGTTTAAGGAGATTTTGTTTCCATTTTTTTGTTTTCCCTTTAAAATTTAATGTTTCCCACAAGGCTAAGGTTGTAAATTTGATTCCATATGTGTGTGTGTGTGTGTGTGTGTGTTTTGCCCCATCTCTGACTTGGAAGAAATAATCCTCTACTCTCATCACTTGTCTTAGTGCTATGATTCTTAATACAGATACTGAAATTTAACATTTAATGAGAACACTGCCATGGTTTTATCTGCTAGGCCATCTGACACATGATGTCACTTCATTCTGGAAAATTTCAATTTGATTCTTTTGCCCTTATTTTCACACCTGAGCGGTGAAATTTTACTTTAATATTTTATAGTGCTGTGAATTGAACTCAACACCTCATGCATGGTAGGCAGGTTCTGTATCACTGAGTTGTATCCCCAGACACAAAACTTTTTCATTAAATATGAGCCAACAGGAATGGCTTTTCCAGTGCTGGCTGAGTTGAAATGTTGGGGACCAGGCTATGTGAAAGATTAAGGGGGGCCTTACTAGGTGATTTAAGCCCTCAAAAATAAAGGTTTTGTAGACATACTTGCTCTCAGATGTCTTTTTTTAAATGCAGTTGTTATTTTGGTATTATGTGGTATTGTGATGATATGTGATATTAATAAAGTACTAAAATAGACGAAGTCATTCTACTGGCACATTTTTTATCTTTCAAACTTCCTTATTTCCACTCTAAGACTGGTTTTTATAGGTTCTATCAAGCATGATTGTAGAAGCCAGGCCAACTGGATTTAAGTTCCTAAAGATACCACAAATTTGGGGCACAAAAGCAATAATAATGAAATAAACACGCAATGAGATCAACATTTGGGGCCCAGAAGAATGGAAGTGATTTTTGAAAAAAGAATCCAAACAAATTACACATATAAACCGGTTTATTAGATTGTCAGTGATACTTTGAGACAAGTTCAAGTTATTGTATTTTACTTCATATAAACAGAGGAAGGAGGAAAGTTTTAAATTTCAAGCTTTGTTCAGCATGTGTGCAGTTAGCATCCACAGAAGCACCATTTGGGTATGGAAGAATTAGCACCACGGAATTTTAGGACCTAACTGTTAACATGCATCACTGAAAAAGTTGGAACATGGAAACTGAAATAGTATGTAGTATGATCGATCATAAACAACACAAGGCAATTTATGATTTCTTTTCATACAGTACAATACAATCACAATCAATGAGAACCTTTTAAGTACAATACAGGACAGAAAACACTTTGTACCCTGTTAACACTAAAGCAGTTACAGATTTTTAAAAAAATGTTTCTTGTAAGAGGCCATGGGTTGAAATCATCCTTTCCCCCTCAATTTTTAAAGTCAGAGTTATATAGTTACATGATCTCTTAAGAAAGTATTTTCAAATCTACATGTCTTCTACCTCAAGGCTGACAAATGATGGGTTGAAGACTTAAAGTTTCAATGAATTAAACAAACATAACTCCCACAAAAACCTGACAGAGTCAAATAGTGCTCCAGTGTGGTGGAAGGTTTCTCACATAAGACCAGTTTACCAGTGTCGTTGATAATGAGTCTTCCCCTCCGTGGAGGAATGTCAAGTGCGGAAGCCTTGCATTCGTGATGGACTTCGGCTCATTTCTTTCACCAAATGCCTTTATTCTGGATTGTAACATAAGAGATTTATTCCTTATTCCTCAACTGTTTTTGTAGTGTCATAGGGCTGTTCCTTATGGTTGGTTTGACAACAGTGAAAAGGGTTGACATTCTCTCTGGAATTAGGGTAATTTGTGAGCTAAAGAAAAAATATTAATTTAAATTTAGCAAATATGAAATTGAAAAGGGAATTTCCCAATACAAACCCATAATTAATACAATTGAAAACCTTTCTGTTAGAAAGCATGTAACAAACCCTCGATTTTTGTTGTACCTAGGCCAATTATAGCATATGAAAAGATACTGCATAAGAAATGTGCAATAAGAATAGATACAGGTATATTCAAGTCTCAATGCATTTATGCCAAGGAAAATATAGTTTTACTCACCAAGAGAAGAATATACCTTGATGTATCTATGCAGACACATGAATCAATCATATATCTGCCCAATGTCTAGTTCTGGAATAGTGCTAACAGGGTCATTTAAGAAAAAGTACTCCATTACAGTACGGCAGCAATTTCATGTTGTCTATATTTAACAGTGAAACATTTTTGAAAATAGAATCAGTACTATACGGTAAGTTTACAATTCACCATATCTATACTTGTGATACATGCGTTTTTTGATTTCCAAGTGTTTAAAAATCCCACTAGGACCAACATCTTTCAGAACAACAATCTAACATTAAACAAAACTTTCTAAGGAAAATATTTAGCATCACAGATTGAGAAGTTTTTTACTCAGCATCACAAAATACTCAGTAGATCTACATTTAAGATTGTTCATGCCTTGACATTAACACACCTTTGGGTTAATATATCTTATTTAAAAAGAAAGCAAAGAAACAAACTAAACAGTCAACATGGAATTTTGTCTTCAGTTTCTCTTTGATAAGCACAGACTCTGATAATCTTGACTTCTTTCCATACCATGTAATGACTCTATGCAACTGCATATACATACAGTAAAATGCTGAAAACCAGATATAGAAAAAAATGATTCCATGGAGAGACTTAAAAATAAGTAATATTATGGAAAAATATTTTCTTTGTAAAGTATGCTGCTCCCAAACAAAAAAAAGAAAGCAAAATTTGTTTTTAGCCTATCCTTATACATGTTATCCTATGTTTTTTCTGCTGAACTACATCGATTGAATAAATCAACTACTGATTTCCGGGACAGCCAACACTTACACCGCAGGACACCTATGTGGATGCTTTCAATCTGATAATTCACCAACCTGACTTGAGCAAAGAAAGAAAATTGATTGATTTATGCTTTGGATTACATTAAAGAAAACCTCAACTAAAAGTTGAGTTATGATAGGCTAGCTAATGATTTTGATTGCTGTTATATTTGACCAACATTTCAAGACAAGGCAACAAAAATTAAAAATGAGATCTAGAAAATAAAAATTGGCCCAAAATTGTTCAGTGAAAATAATCTTCAAAATTTACAGTTTTAACTTCAAATGATTGTAGACCTAGACAGTCTTGCCATTATCATATATAGTGTTACTTTTGATTTTTATTTGTTTTGTTCATTGGTTATATTATGTAACATAATTTTCTGTTAATTAAAATAGTTTGATTTATTACATTACACTCTAAGTGGCTTTAGAAAAACATTTAACTAGAATAAATTTATAAAAGGATAAGGAATATTTTAAGGGATTTTAGACAAATTCTATATAAATAGTTCAAGGTAATAAAGTGCCTTCTTTTCTAGGTAATTAATTTTTAGTAAAATATTTTAAGGCTTTATAAGAAACCCAACATTATCAGATGTTTGATAGTGTATGGGCTTACATTATTAATTAGCATTCTTTTGTAGCTATTGTGATATTTAATCTTTCAGTCCATATGGTAATTTTTAATAATTAGCAGCTTAAAATTATAAAATTCAGTTGTCAATTTTAAATTCATTTTGTGGGAAAAGGGAAAGATGTAAAATTTCTAAATGCTGTGACGTGTTTGTGAACATACTGATTTATGTCAAAATATAAAGCAACCAATGTCCCTCAAAAAAACAGAATATTTAACACCATGGGGAAGACGGTCATCATTTCATTCATGTATTGTTGTTTTTAAATGTAACGTGATTGGGCATCCTTAAATGAAAGAGGTCAAAGAAAATCAATGATAAAATTTTCAGCTTACAGGCACAATGAATACCTTTATTGCAACAGTTTATGCATAATCTGTATCAATGCCAACATCTAATGGTAAACATTCAATATTCATTTTGCTTTTACTACCCATGGGTATCTCACAGGAAAATACTCTTAACCTAATCAAGACGTATATCTATACAGTAGCCATAATCATGCAGAATTCTATTTATTACATATCTTACCACTTCTCTTTGGGTAATATGGGTATGTTTTAAGCACATCAGTGTACTTGGTTATCTACACCAGTCTGGATTTTAAGATAAATAATAGCTATACAGATATCAATTGCTCAATTATTTTTAACCAATATAAAATAATAAAAATGTTTGAATAATTACTTTCAAGAATTTTATTTTGATGAGAAAATTAGTAAAATGAGGTATAAGATTAAATGGCCATGATATCTAAAATATTTTTCAATCACCACTGGACTAATTTAAAATGTTCTTTAAAAGTTTTGAGGTCAAGATGAAGGAAAGTAAAAATTTTGAAGAGAGTGGGTTTAAGTGAAATGTTCCACCTTATTAGAAAAACAGGAATTACTAGTAGAAAAAGTGCTAGTCACGGTGCTTGGTTTGTTTTTGAATCCAAAGCCTAGTAAGAGCAATTTCAGGGTTAAAAAATTTAGTGACATAAACCTTTATAATTGCACATTCTTTTACCAAAGTGCCACAAGTTACCAAACACTTTTGTAAAAAGCAGTACTTTTAGTAGTACTTTTAAAAAATCTAAATGCATATACAGTTTTACCTTTTTCATACTAATGTAGTACAGTTTCATAAATTTAGCATAAATGTAACCAGGAATTTGAATTATAACTTTCTTGAAACAGTATTGTGTTTAAAAAAATACTGTTAATAGACTTTGTCACTATGAAAATTCAAATCCAATTGCAGCCAAAGCATTCCATTAAATCTAAGAATATCATGAGAACTTATTTAGGGAAATTTTAGTAATACTCTGCCATGCAATGCACAGAAATCATATACTTTAAAAAACATACTGGGTAAGTTATCCTCTTTTTTATCTATTTGACTATATATTGTTTTCCTCTTTTCAATCACTGAAGTATCAATATCATAAACACATTTGAAAACAATATTAAATACTGATGTTTCTAGCCTTCACCTGCTAATATCTAAGAAGTATGGTAAAAATAATGGGTTACTGATGTTCACACTTTAATCTCTTTATTCTAAATATAAATGACAAATGGAAATGTACAGATACAATAAAAAGAAGATGATAGTAGGCACCAAAGAAATTATATATGGAAGAAATAAAATAGTAAGGAACAGTATGGAAGTTCTCCATATTAATGAATTTCATCCATCAGGAAAAGATAATTAAAAATGGAGGTCTCTACCATGAAAAAATTTTATTAATGGATTTTTTCAAATAAGTGGCATGCATATAAAGTATGAATATTTTTGTTATTTTTGAGAAAATAAAATTAAACTGGGGAGTTACCTAATTATAATCTGAGACCCAAAATACTATATTGCTGAAGAAAAAGTGAGACTGTAAGGTGATGATTCTCAAAGGCAGGTCATCTGGGTTTGATTATCCCAGAGGCTAAATCTGTGATCTAATGCCTCATTTGATTAGAGTGCAAATGCTGATAAAAATTCAAAACACCTAATGCTAAAATTAGGATTAGTTTATTATAAAATGATTAACAACACAAAGAACCTTTCCTTTTCCTACAATTTGACAATTTCAGTCTTAAATGTAAGAATAACTATATAAAAACATTGAAAATAAATGATTACGTAAACATTTCATCTTTTGAGGATGTAAATGTGACAGAAATTAATATTCTGAGAAAATTAACATTCTAAGAAAAATTAGTATTCTGAGAAAATTAACAAACCTTAAAAACATTAGTACAGAGAAGGAAAAGAATGGAAACAAAGCTTTTATAAGCAGAAGAGGAGGGGATGAAGGGAGAGTAGAGGAATAGGGAAAAAAAGGTACATCATATACAGATACAAATTCTCTATGATGAATGTGATCATATACACATAAATAAATTATTTAAAAACTTAAAAAAATTATTTAAAAACTAAAAGCAGAAAGTGCTTACTTCAGGTGCACATATACTGAAAGCAACAAAACAAAGCATGCTAAATCACCAATAACTCCAAATCCAACATAGCAAATTATATAATGGGCAGATATGCAGTCACAGAAGCTTTTCATAGTTTCTGAGTATAAAAACATAATCCTTTGTTGGTAAATACAGTCTCAGCATTAAAAGTTGTTAAACATTTCAACTGAAATGTAGATTTTAAATAGAAGGTGCAGATATATGCAAACTCCATATTATACATGACATTCCAACTATAATTAGCTTGCATAATACTCAGAATAGTATGACTCTACAATCTCTCTTGCAAATATGCACAGATTTTTTTTTTACTTTGCAAACGCTAGACAATTGTATTTACCTAAAATAGCTTTTCCTTGGTAGCAGTCCTATGGTGTTGACATAAATGCTGAACATACCTAGAAGAACCATTCGTACTACATTATTTAATCTTGTTTTTCTAATATTAAGCTATTTGTAGCATTTTTATTTATAAAATGCTCAATACTTATTGTAGTTATTTCTTATTATATTCTGGTGAGGAAAGCAAAATTAATAAATTGTGCAGTGGAGGAGCTGCACGGGGCTTGTAAAGTGTTTTTCTGCTCTCTAGTTATTTACCTGGCATTGCTCTATGCTGGTGGTGGTGAACTTAGGGCAAGTGTGCCACAGCGGCTGATTGTATCACTGAAGGCTCTACAAGGTTTACCATCCTTTTTCTATACTGAGCATCCTGTGTGCTCTTTGGGGCCAACGACTGCATTTGCTATGTACTGTAACATACAGACCTAGCAGAGTGCTTAGCTCATAAGTATACAAGATAACTGTCTGTTGATTTAATGAATAAGAAGTGGGACTGAGAAAATAGAACAAATAACCTCAACATAATACTGTCTCACTCTGCCTCTGCATTCAAAGCTGTGCTTGTCTCCTTTTGCTTCTGCTCCACAATAAAACTCTTCTTAATAATAGGATAGAATCACCAATTTTTTTTTTTGAGGCAAGGTTTCAGTATATGGCTCAGGCTAGCCTTGAACTCTCTTTGTAGCCCAGGCTGGTCTCAAACTCATGAGGATCCTCCTGCCTCAGATTCCAGAGTGCTGGGATTACAGGTGTGCGCCACCATACCATGGTGGATCACCTGTTGTTGATAGTGAAGGTGGCACAGCCCATTCAAATGTATTCTCCAAGAAGCAATAACACCATTGAGAACTACAACTACTAATAAAACTTCTAATTACTCATTTTTACCTTTGCCAGTCATTTGAGTTAAAAGTTGTACTACACAGATTCTTTTCTTATGGAGATTATGAGAAGGAACTGTAAGGACAGCTGCACAGCTACAGCAACAGCAGGAGGAGTAGTTGTTCTTTTACTTTTTCAGTACTGAGAGCAGGAAAGCCCAAGCCCCTGAGATTATGATTTTTTGCTGAACTACGTTGCACTTAGATGATGACAAAAATCTTTTCTAGTTCTGAAATTCTTTATCATGTTAACTTGTTCTTCTTCTGATTAGAGGGGTATCTGTGCAGTGCTCAAAAACCTATTTTATTTTTAAGAAAAAAGGATAAACTTGAAAAGTTTAATGCTTCAGAAACCTTGAACTGTATTAAATGATTTTTTTTTAAATCACTATTGCTCCTTGCTTGGAAATTATACCATGAAAAGCCTTTTAAATCCTGAATAATTGGCTGGTCCGAAGGTAGTGAGTTATCTCAATTGATTGTTCACAGTCAGTACAGATTGAACTCCTTGTTCTACTCTTTCCCCCCTTCTCACTACAGCACTTGACTAGTCTTAAAAAAAATCCTGAATAATTCTAGTTAAATTGTATCAACATAAAGTGACTATCATAATACTTTACACTGTCAGCAAAACTAGCATCTATGAGTTTGTTTCTATTTCAATCCTTCACATCAGCTTGCCCCCTAAAGAACAGGTTGGTTCACTACTCAAGTACAATTCATGAGCTCATTTTCCATTTCAGAGAGAGGTGAAATTATTTGTTGCAAGTGCAGTTATGGTTTAAATTACATTATAGAAAAACACATGGGTTTGACATGAAGTTTGAATGTCTAACTTAAATTACTATACATGTATGTAAAAACAGCACTTTTAATAATATTTTGACTAAGTAACAACAAAACAAAGGCACAAACCAGAATGTAAAAACCTTTCATTTGTTTTTGGTGCTGGGGACTGAACGTAGGGCCTCGTGCATACTCAGCTGTGCTCTAGTACTGTGCTGCTCCTCCTGCCCCCTAAAAACTTAATTTTTGCCATTTCAAAGCATAAGTAGGAAGGAGGAGGAACAATTATTTACTATCAGCTTTAATTGTTGTTTATCTACAGTCTTTCAAAACCCTTCAAAGTACATCAATGAGTTTTAGAATGGTTTAATTCACAACCTAAGATCACTTTGCCTATCATTTAGCCGATATTATTTTTCATATTCAAATAGGAACAAAGACCATATCTTCATTTCTCCATGCGGTAGGAAACACTATTGGCAGTTAGTTAAAATTAAATACTACAACTAAAATGGTCATGGGCCATTTAGAGAATTCAATTTGTGCATACAGCTCAAAAGAATTTAGCATTCTTTAGAGTTCAGACATATTTTAGTATGATGGCATGTAAGTTCACTTTATAGGTTAAATTTTACTAATGAAGTTCCCTTGGTAATTGAAATGCAACTGGTGTTTATGAGAAATAAGCCTGATTCCACACCAAAGTAGGTCATATTAAAGAGATGTCTTAATTCAGTATTTTTGAATTATTAGAATGAAATACAGTAAAATAATAGGAACCAGAAAGAGAAAAATAAGTCTGTGAGGGAGAAGGAAAGTAGGACTACTTAGTGATGGGTAGGAAGGTGAAAGAAATGAGAAAATGCATGAATAAGAGAGATACAGAGAAAGATTAGCATCTTCTCACTACTCCGTCTAAATTTACTTCATTTAGGTATTCTCCTGGTGGAGTTGATATAAGCCCTGTGCTGTATTTGTGTTCTTTCTCTTGCTGAATAATTGTAGCAGTAAGGAAAATGGTATACTAACTTCCCATAAGGATGAGGAGGTGGCTACTGTGCACGCTGTCACTTTGTGACAATGTACCAGGACCCTTTTGTGTTCCTGAACAGCCTTGAAAATGAAGATGATTAAAGATGTCAGTGGACTAGCCGAAGGTCAGCTCGATCCTCTCCTTTAGTTAGATATGGTAAATTCAGCCACCTTTTTGCTGTGGATATGGTTTTCTTTTCATAGCCAACAATAAAGAGTAAAATCCACCGTTTGGATCTATTGGAACATATTGTATAGTAATACAACTCCCCTGAATTATGATATAATCTTGCTCAAATTTATTGCTGCCCCCGGGACCTTAATGAATCTTTGCAAAAATGGCAAAATTTAGGCAAGGAGAATTAGGACGTTCAGAGAAATAAAAATGCAACCTGGATATTGCTCTCACTGTTTGCTCTTCTTTCACTCGTATCATCTTTGCTAGGAATTACAGATCAAAGTGAGTCTCATAACAAAAGTAAGTTCTACAGCTCCACATTACATCATTTTAAGAGTATAAAACAGCTACTGAGGCATCATCATATTGACAAACCATGAAAGTTTTCTGTCCAGCATAGAGATAATCCTCTCCTGAGATGATTTGTCATAATTACCTTCTGTAGCCTGAACAGTAAACGGAAGGAAACAACAGTTCTGTTGTCATTGCAATTGCTAAATGCATTCACCCAGTGTCTCTCTTTTTACTATACTATTTAGAATCTTCCAACACAGTATCTTTTGATCCATATAACTCTAAGGTGGCAGAGTTGTTTGAATGTTATGAGTATTTCAGTTGATATTAATAGTGTATGTTCCCCTGCATTCTTCTAATAGACTTGCTGCCATATTTTTAAGAGTGTCAATTAAGATATGTACTTAGTGAAGATCTGCTTATTAAAAAGGTATCAAGAACTATCATGAAACTTAAAAATATAGATAATTTCAAATCTATTAGGCTTAACAATGGAGTTTTTCGAGTGTTAAATAAACTTCCAGAATATACAAAACCAGTGGTATAAAAATCAGATCAGTGATTGCTGGGATGGTGAAAGGGCACGGAAAAATTGACAGAGAAAGGGTACACAGGAACTTTCCAGTGTGAGAGAAACATTCTTTGTTTCCATATTTGTCAAAATCGATTGAAAGGTATATTAAGATATGAGCATTTCACATTGCGCAAATTGTATCTTAATCAAAATGTTAAAAGGTATTACAACTACTATAATCTTGCAAAAGTATTGGAGGTTTTTTTTTTTTCTTTCCTTTTCTTCATTTAAAAACTTCTTTGAAACTACCTTTAGAAAGCAGCATACTCTGAAGTAGAGCCAGAATTAGTGCTTTGAGGAGGACAGGGACTTTCAGGGACCACTGGTGAGGCAGTACTGTGTAACAGTATAGAAAGGAGAATGATTCACTTAAGACCTGAGCAAAAACAAAACAAGATTTTACCTTACAATGCTTGATACAAAGTCAAGCGGTATATTTAGTATTTCACACTTAAAACCATGCTGAATGCCAATGGCCAGGACTTAATTTATGATATTACTTCATCTCTTCAAATGTAAGGGGCCATGTATTCATTCATCAGCTTTAAAGTAAAATTTCCAATGAAGGCCTGCTTTCCTACAGAAATAACCTATGTGACAATTCTAAAAATAAATGAGAAAATTCTATTGGTTCTGAAAAGAAAATAGTACATTACAACAGAATGCTATGAATGATGTCAAGTATTTACCTGTAAAATTAAAGCGGAAATTAAAAGCCAATTATTTCTCCAATTTTTTTTTGTTATTTCAAATGAAGCCTACCAAAGGCATATGCTGTCCCAAACCATATGTCATATAAAGACATTTAAAATAAAAATAAAAAATTTTACTGCTGATTGTCATTTCAATCTGGGATTGGAGAAAAAAATAATTTTCCTAAACAACACCTGGTTTATGAAGGGAACACAGTAAATATTTGATAAATGAATAAATGAATGGTCTCATTTTTCTTAAATTGCCATTGCTTACGTGACATGGTGGCTTCTTACTCCACATTACAAATTGATTAAAAAGAAAATATGTAGGCACATATTTAATTAGTTTTTTACAAAAGCTTGGAAACCCCTAACCCACATATTATTACTGCTACTGCTATTGCTAATATAAAATTTGCATAAATTTAAATTGATACAATATTAAAAAGCTCAATAATTTGATACAAGATAACATGGATACCCAGTTATAAAATTTTCCTTTTAAAAAATGACACTAAAAGACATTATTTTCATCTTGAGAGTCAGCAAAAAAGTATACAATCAATAGAATAGTCGTGGGGTACTTTATGGAAATATCACTGTGAGAGGATTAAAAGTTTGTAAATATCAAAAGAAGACAGCTCTAATGCTAGGAGATAAAAATTATAGTTTAAGGGCCTGGGGATTTAGCTCAGCAGCATAAGTGCCTGCCTTGCAAGTGCGCAGTCATGAGTTTGACCCCAGGTACAAAAAAAATTTTTTTTTAGTTTAAATATGAAAGAAGAAAAGCTGAGTATCAAGATAATGACCTGTAAGAAACTCTTTAAGACAATCACTGGGGCCTAAATTTTAATGGCTCCATACTATTCTGAAAACAAGAGCTAAAGTGTGCATTAATTTAAAAAGCTGTTTTTTAAGGGTCAAAATGGCCTGCAAATATTATCTGGTAATAATGTTTCAACTTTAGAATAGACAGGTGGAAAACAGTTGCGAGACAAAAACAATCTAAATGAATCCACATACTCCTACTGATTTTGAAGCAAAATAACAGGGAAGCAGATGACGGGCAGTATAAAAACCATTGAATGAGATACAGTTCAAATGTTGAAAGCAAATAAATGATTTTGAAAAGGTCTCATGATATCTTTTAAGATTTTTCCTATTTCTTATAAATGAAAGTGAAAGAGAGTCCTTCAGGAAAAAAATAAATCAAAGTTGGCAGACATAGAAAAGCAATTGTCAATTCTCTATGGATACCTACACCAATATTAGAAAATTAGTGAAAATAATTCTATTAGTGCTGGGGCAATTGGTTCTCACATCATGCAAACTGCCTAGTAATCCTTTTAAGCGGTTCTTATGGTGTCACTGGATGAAACTAAAAAAATTTATTTATTTTTTTTATAAAATTACAAAGAGATTCCAATTTCAAACGAAACTTTTCAGTTTATAAACAGTTTATTTTCTTAATGGTGTCTGTGGATGAATAAAAATTTTTGATACAGCCTAAAGTATAACGTTGTCCTTTATAGTTAGTGCTTTTTTGTTTTCTGTTCAATTGTGCTCTTTAACCGTCGTCAGAAAACAACTTCAAGAGCCTACAGTAAGCCCAACTCCCCTCTGGCTGATGTGTGATTTCTTGTGATAAAACAAGTTCCTCTCCTGGTTTTGCATAATTTTGTTACACTTTTTAAAGATGTGTATATTGTGAATTAAGAATTAACAATGATGTTACTATTAAGTGCTTATTTGATGACAGATATTTTGCTAACAGCTTCATGTATTTGAAGACATTTAATTTTCTTTAATAAGAGAATTTGGTTGACCATAAGGAACCTTATGTTTTGTTACTGATACAATCTCCTGGACATAGAAGATTGTTTGGCACACAACAGATGGTTGATAAGTACAAAATGAATGCCAAATGAATAAATTCTCAAAGCAGCATTGTAAAACTAAGTAAATTGCATCAAATTCCACAACCAATAGAATTTGGCTTGAATCCAGGACTGGCTGACAGTAGTCTGTGCTCCTTACTTCTCTGAGATCAGCCTCCGGATGATAACTTTGTTAGGGACCAGGACTCAAAAGTACAGCTGAAATTACTGTTACTACTTGAGGGGATGGAGGAAGTGGATTATTATCGATTTATTCTTCTCATAGTAAAAGAAAAATGTGGAACTATTAAGCTCCTCCTTGATAATATGAAGCATATTGATCTTTTAAACATTTATAAATATGATACTTTGTGCAGATTAAGCTAATCTGCACATGAAACTTTTAGAGACATAACTACAAGGTCAGCATAATTCAGTCTTCACATATGAATTTGGAATTCAACCTGCAAACTCCTCGGTGATGATACAAAATAATGGTTAACTGGGAATACCAGAGAGCAAGGTAATTTACTTAAGGGAATATGTTACTTAGAGCTATAATCACAATGTTATTAATCCTACTGAAATAAAAATTTCTAATAGGTATTATTTTGCATTTTTACTTTAATAAATACAACATAATTAATATTATTGAATTTTGTTGCATGCCTGGGACTATCCTCTTTAACAAGTATGATCACTGGATGATGATGGAATGAAGATGTGGGTTCTTGAGTTAATTTGATAAAAACCTGAAACATTCCTTTCAAATGTCTGTCCAAAACTTAACAGTGGTGGTCCTGCTCATAAGACTGTAAAGACTCACTAGTTGACTTTTAATTAACTGAGCTTACTATACAAATGAAGTAGTTAAATGATCTAAATAACATTTTTGAGGGTTACTCTGCAGTGCTGGTGTCGTGGCAAGATTTTTGATAGTGGCATGGGAAGAGAGGAAGTTCTGACGGACTAAGGAGGAAAGCACAAAAGATGACTTAAGAGTCTGAGGCAGAGGCTGATGTGTCGATGGACAGAATCCAGTTAAGTGACTCATGCAAAGATAAAAGCACCAGTGCAATTAACTTGCTGTGCTTCTCACCAGGGCTTAAACTGAGTACGTGATAAGTGCAAAATGGCCTACAGAAGGAAGAAAACAAGAAATTACGTAGAATGCATCCTAAACCTCTTCGAATTAGCTATATGCTATTTTTTTTTTAATTTTGTACTGTGAATCAAAGTCAGGGTCTTGTGCTTGCCTGTCAGGTGCTTGTACTGCTGAACCCACTATATGCTAATTTTACATGCTTAAATTTTACCTAACTTTGATTTTTCTTTTTTCTTTTTTTGCCTTTTTCCATTTTATCGGTACCGGGAATCGAACTCATGACCGCCTCCTTGCAAGGCAGGTGCTTATGCCGCTGAGCTAAGTCCCCAGCCCCCTAACTTTGATTTCAAAGCTTAACATTTAAAATTTTTGTAATGTTCTTACAAAGGCTTCGATAAGCAGCAGGCTTGTTAAAACCCCAGAATTTTATTAGGGAGTTAAGTGATTACAGCAAATCATTTCACCCCAGGGCCAGAGTTTTATTGGTTAGGTGAGGATAGTGATGTGGAACCAAACTCACTGGAATCAGGATAAAATGAAATTAGTGAAACAACTTTAAAATCGTATCAAATTATATGCAAATTATTACAATTTAAAAAGTTTAGCCAGGACTGGTGGTGGTGGTGCACACCTGAAATTCCAGCAGTCTGGGAGGCTGAGGCAGGAGGACTCAAAGTTCAAGCCCAGTATGGGCAACTTAAATGACCTAGAAAGACCCTGTCTCAAAAGAAGACAATTAGAGGGAAAAAGGGGCTGAGGATGTAGTTCAGTGCAAATGACTTTGTTGCTAAGGTATTTAAGTTGCCCCTGCTTTAAATAGGTGGTTATCCTTATTCCACAAGACTTTTTAGATGCCACCTGTCTTCATTAAATATATTTTAAACTTAGCTTCCCTTATGACAATCCTATCTCTTTAACCGGAATTTAAATTCTAAACCGGACAGTTTCTTCCTTTGCACTTCCCTCTATACCTAACACTGTGTGGATTTTCTAAATCTTCTCTTGTCACTTAATCATCACTGTCCCCCTTCCTGTTCACCTTTGAGATCAAAGTACTTAACAGACAAATCAAAGAGGCAATTAATGTTCATGAAAATGATCATTTAAAAACTTGCTAAGAGACACAGTGTCATTTTTATTTTAAAGAAACTCACAAATTAAGGTACAGTTTAATATGAAATCTTTTGCTTCTTGCAGATCCTAAATTTTCACTTCAAAAAAATTTGTTTTCTTTGCTTAATAAATTCACTGTCTTTCTACTCATTCAGTGGTCGTGGGTGCCAGACCCCATGTTGGAGACTAGAGGTACATTCATTTGTATAACATACATGTTTTACTATGATTAGCGTTAAGCTTTTTCATTCAAAGTAGCTTTTGAAGCCTAATCAAACTGTCCTATTTTTTCGTTCAACAGATACTTCATTTACTTGTCACGAATAGGTAAATGTGAGAAGTATAGTTGAAACCATTATAAAAAACTGTATTTTCTTTTCTTTAAAAAACTATCCTTTATAATTAATTACACTGTGAAACAGTGCTCAAAATATAGTATCCACCAAAAAACGTATACACACTTCAGGAAAAGAAAAATAGTATGATTGTTTTTAGCAGATCGGTGTTACCCTCCTGTAGCAACCTATCACAGAAACCCCACTATACTGCCAGCCCTGAGAGAAGAAATTGAACATGAAAATGTATGTGTAGCGATCTGAATGACCAAGGTTACCCAAGCAGCAGTTTGCTGTACTAATAAATGTCTGGAAGCTTATGGCCACCACTTTGAGCACCTCTTGTAACTATAGAGTCCAAAGGTAACTTGTATTAATCTCATGATGTCTTAATAAATTTAGTATTAAAATATTAACACAAATTTTTCTTCCCTTGAAGTATGTATACATTTTTTTGGGCAGACCGTATACTTCACTGATACAAAACAACACAAACATTTGATGGCAGCAACAATGGACTGGACAAAGTCCATTGAAACAAAGTAGTGCAACACTGTGAAGCAGTTGGCACTAAATACAAAGGTGCCAGGAAAGATGGGACGGTTAATAAATATCAGGTGAAACAAAGAGCAGCTGGAGAAAAATGAAAGAAGGGTGTGGAAGGAAAGTTTCACTGACTCCAGAGATACAGAAATTGACAGGGCTCTAGGGAGAATGCCTACTCTGATCAGTGTCTCTTTGATGGATAAGTGAGCTGAGTTCACAGAGGTTCAAATATGTGCCCTGGGGCCAGCTAAAAGGCACAGATTCGGGGCTTCTGATCGGCAACAAAGTTCCCTTACATACTATATTGCTGCACATCATGAGTTCAAAGGCAAGCCTGGAAGGATTTTTGAAGTGTCCATCAATGCTTGAAATCATAGTCCAAAAACATACAATTTTTGCTGGCTTTATTATAACATAAACATAGTGAATAATTTAGTATTTACATTGATTTTAATTTAGAGTTATTTTGTAATAAGTTTGCTAATGCTAATTTGTCATTTGAATTTTAGCTATTAAAAACCTTAGAATCAAGTTCTGTGTTTATCTTTTCTGTATAAACCATAAAACATTTCCTTCAAATTGTATGTGGATTTTAGGTAATGTGTCTTGCATCAGATTCAAATCACCTCAATAGAAGTACTATTAAATTACAACAAGCGCTTTTTTGTGTGTGTTTCACTTTTATTTATTTTGTTTGCGAACAGGTTTGCTATGCTGGGGGCTCAAATGATCCTGCTTCCTCAGCAGCCCAAATGGTGGCTACAGGTGCTGGCCACACCACCCAGTTTTGGAGTACTACTCTACCAAAAAGAACAATAAATTTGAGTCTTTGGAAGAAAACAGATGCACCCTGAGACCACGATATTAAGTGAAATAAACCAGGCACCCAAAACTAAATATTGCATGATTACTCCTCTATGACAAGCCCAAAATGCAAATAAAAAGAAAAAGACAGCCAATAGGAAGTAGGGAGATAGGTGTTCCTCATAAGGGAAGAGGAGCAAGAGATAGAGGAAAGGAAAGAGGGAAAGGGAATTAAAAAGTAATTAAGATGTGCTATGTACCAATTTCCCACAAAGAATGTAAACTTTATGTACTGCAAACATGTATGATTAAAAAAATAAAGCTAGTTGTAAATGCAAAATCTTTGTGAATCAATTTAAAAAAATGAGTCAGGGCCGGGATATAGTTCAGCAGCACAGTACCTGCCTGACAAGAGCAAGGTTGTGAGTTTGATCCTTGGGACAAAAAAAAAAAAAAAAAAAAAAAGGAGAGAGAGAAAAGAGTCGAACAATATAATGGTGTTTAGTGGAACTGCACAAAGATAGCTAATAATTCAAAGACATTTTTAAGTGGGATGCAGTTTAATAATTCCTGAGGAGCAGTAGTGCACTTACTTTCTTATAATGTCCACAGGCATTCCTCATTCTAGAAAAATTTAGTATAAATGACAAAGTAGGTTAATAATTATGGAATAAGGCTCTGAACTCATTGAATTTTCAGGCTGGAATTCACTGTGTTATTCTAAAGTTTTCCTGTTAGAAAGACAGTGCTTACGTCAGAGACTACAAATCAAGGGGAGGTTAAGTTCTGGGTGTTGAAAGCATGTGCTCAGAGGAGTGCAGGGCAGTGAATAAATTTCGGTGATTTAGGGGTGATAACGGTGAACAATGCAGAAAGATCTTTAATAGCAAGGGGGCCCTGATATTGTGATAATGTTAGTATACTAGCTGCACTCACTACAATCGCTTGGTTAACTCTTTTCAACTCGAGATTGTTTTTCCCTCCCTGCCAAGACTACATTTCTAATAATACAGTGGAGAATAATGAAATGATGACACAAAATCTAAACTAATTTTTTGAAGTAAATCAGAAGATTGTTAAAAATTTGAGTGCTACAAAAATTATGGAAATATTGAAGATGGACACATATTAAAAATAATGCCATAGTTTGAAAGCACTGATAGTAAGATAGCATTAATACCATAAATTATTAAATTCCTAAAATGAATAAAGATTCAATATTATCAAAGTGTCATGATCAACTAATTTTTGATAGTTTCAAGATAGTTAAGTTTATATAACAAGATCATAAGCAGTGTACACGTCATTTTTGCTTATTTACATATATATTGATTATATAATTTTAAACTATTGATTTTCTTAAAGAATTTTAATAACAGGAAGATTTATTTTAAAGAGAGCTTTCAAAGAGTAAGCTTTTAGAATATGTTTCTTGAGGGGCTGGGGATTTAGCTCAGCGTCATAAGCACCTGCTTGTTAGCAGGCAGTCGTGAGTTGGATCCCTGGTACCGATAAAAAAAAAAAAAAAAAAAAAAAAAGAGTATGTTTCTTGGGTAGAGTTTTTTCTTACTGCCAATGATTTTGAAAATAGTATTTGAAATAGTTCATTTGCAGACAGATGTGTTTTAATTTTACACCTAAATTATGTTTCCTGTAAGGCTGCTTAAAGTTTCATACTGAATTAATCAAAGATTTTGAATTCATTCAGTGAAATTACTGTTAAATTCCAGGAAAAATGTCCACTCAAGTACAGAATCTTGGATTAAAAAAATGTCCATATAAATTATACTTTCTTAGACAAAACTGGCATATATATATATATGAAAAAGCTATGGAAATTCTAGTATATAAGCCCAATTGTTCTGTTAACAGTAATTGCAAATATTCAACAAAAAAGCAATCAAACAGTGTCCATTTAGAGTCCCTAGGTCTCAGAATAATAAACAACTCTACCTCTAAATTAGTAGAAAAATATGCAGACAGAATATCTTCCACTCATGAAGATTATGAGAATCTTTTAATCTCAATATAAGCATTATTGCTTTGAAACAATAAGTTTCTATAAGTAACTATAATTATCTATAGGATAAGATTTATACTTGTAGAGCAAAATAACAATAACTATAAATCTATTATTGTAGAGACAAGGGTTACAAGATCATCTTGCATATTTAAAAAAAGGTTGGTAAGAAAATATGAAAGAAGTTGCCAGAGGCTGGGGAAAGGCCAATGGGAGATGTAATGGGTATAGAATTTCAATACTACAAGACAAATTCTAGAGATTGGTTAATCTCTAGACTAGGCATATTTAAAAAAAAAAAGTTGAGAAAGTCATCATTAGCAGCTTAGAAGGTCGACCTGTGAGCAACTGAAAGAATTTTCACTTGATTTAGGTTGGAGAGGTTTTAGAACATTCTGGTTATAAAATCTAAGTATGCAATCAGTGGTTGGATGTCAAGTTAAAACGGTCTGAGTTGGCTGGGGATTTAGCTCAGTGGCTCAAGAGATTGCCTGGTAAGTGCAAGGTCATGAGTTTGATCTCTGGTATCAAAGAAAACAGTCTGAGTTTTGGAAATGGAGGAGAAACTGGCATTCTCAGCAATCACTGGCTTGCAAATATGATAGTACAGAATCTTGGATTAAATACTCATTTAGCCTGTTTAAAGTGAGCCCTAGATATTATGCTAATATTTTTAACAGAAAATGGCCATGTGATGATATCTTGTTTGATAATAGTAAAACCTTAATTAAGCAATTCTAGCTGGGAATATGATTTGTAAAGAGAAGATACAAATCAAAGCTCCATAATCTAAGCCTATGACAAAAGAAAATCTTCCAGAACATTGATAAAAGAGCAAGACAATTTAAAAATGCTAATTTATGAACTACTTTGAACCAAATCAGAATCTACATGTTTAATATTCCATGTACACTAATATTCAAGCATCAATGGATGTTAAAGTTTTAAAGAGAGAATCTTGGTGGCATGTGCCTGTAATTACAGCATCCTTGAAAGTTGAGGCAGTATCCCAAGATTGAGTTCAGCCTGGACAATTTAGTGAGATCTTGTTTCAAAATAAAAAATGACTGAAGATGTAGCTCTGTGCAAAGACCCCACTTCAAATGCCTGTGTTGAATAAGAAAAGAGAATAGAACAGAAGAGCAGTGCAGAGCAAAGCAAAGCAGAGTGTAAGATTGAGAGAAAGAAATGCACACTCATTTTAATGGTGGCTGAACTCAGAAGCAAATATAGTTTAGTGCTAACGCTTGCTGGTATTATTAATGATTTTATTATGGCTGTGATTCTTTTAGTTCTTTAGGGCATATCAGAAATTCTGTGATACTCTAAAGAAGGGACCACTGGATTAAAACAATCTCTTTCAAGTATTGTATTAGAACAGAAACATTCAACATGGTAGTTTGTTGCTGCAAATGCCAGCTGATTGGCTAAACCTGAAATTTTAGAGCGATAACAAGAAGTTTTATAGCTTTAAAGGAGGGATAATAAATAGCAAGTTTTGGCATGAATGCTAGTCTTTCCTTGTATGAGCAGACTTAAATTCTTAACACAGCACCTTAGGGCAGCCAATCAATTTCAGTAACAAACAAGATGAAACCAATTTGCCACTACTTCAGGGGCAAGGAAGAGACTGAGTTCTCTGCAAAATTTTATGTAAGAGTGAATATATGTATAAGGTATGTATATTCTATTTGTGCACAACAATAAAATTTGCTTGGTTAACTATGTCGACATAGTTAGATGTGTAGCATACTTTGCAATTTGTGTGTAATTACATTTCAACCTGTTCAGCGCTCTCCATAAAAAGTACTATTTGTAAGAAAAGATGCCAATCAAAGCTCCACAGTCAAAGTTACTGACAAAGAACGACTTTCAGAACACTCACATCAAAATAAGCAAGACAATTTAAAAGCACCAATTTACAAACCCACTATTGGCCAACCAAATTAGTCTCTGGGACATTTTTAATATAATATGTATGTTAATGTTTGAGCATCACTAGACCAAGTTTTAAACTGGAACAGTGATGGCTGCTGAAATTTGGAAATGTTACAGAATCACAACAAAGCACAGATGACTGGAAGAACTAATGAAAAATGACACTGGCAAGGAAAATTTGAGTTTTATATTGGATCAGACATGTCTTCAATTTAGATAGTATGGTTACTATTTTGCCCTTTATCAAGCCATGAAACTGTAGGAGAGAATCACATATATGATTTGCAGCAATAATCAACTGATTTGGAAACCTGTTTTAAAGCAGAAAATTTAAAGATGAAATCAGCAAACTATACTATTTCATCTTCTACAAGAAAAAATAGAGAACGGTGATAAAGATGGTTTGATCTTTAAACAGAGTTCTTAATTTTTATAAAGAAAAAGTTTGATAATACCCCATAATTTAGTTTTCTAATTTCTCCTACTGCCATTAATGCCTTTCTCAAGAAACCCATAATCAGGTACTACTGACATAAATATTCTTTGTGTAATCCTTTTTGAAAAAGATGAAAAGTGATTTTTTTTGAAAATACAGGTCTTAATTTTGTAGGGCAAACTTTAGGGAAACTATCTTAACTAACTCATTTAAGTAGTAAAACTCATGAAAATTGGGAAATTAGTTGTTTTTGCAAAAACAAGGGATGAAAAGGAATGGTAAGTTTTTGGGACTATGCATTCAAATCATAATTCTTTATACAATCTGGTAAATTAATAAACCTGAATATAAAATTTCCAAGCATTATGCCTAATAAATTTTGATTCTCTCAGGATTGAAAAGGATCTTTGAGGTAGTAATAATTCTTGTCCGATTTATTTCCCTTATGTATCCTTCATTAAGTGAATGTCTAGCTTCTGCCTTCAGTAAGTCTAGAAACAGGGAAAAATAATTGATCTTGAAGTTTGTTGAAACTACTCTAAATGATTCCACCTGAAACCTACTCAAATGAAAGTTGATGACTTAAATTTTTAATATAAAATTTATATTGTAGCTGTATAATACAAATGAGAAGGAGAATTTAAGAACTTACAATGATTCTTTTGATTTCATGACTATTTATAAGCAGTTTTGTCAATCTTGCTCACAGGGAACCATTCAGTGTTCTGGGACACTATGGAAGGGTAGTGGATGGAAAGAGAAGTCAAAGAACTCAGAATTGCCTATGTATTAGTTAATTCAATATTTCCAATAGCATGTGATCCACCAGAATAATGGTTATTAAGGAGCTTCTGTAGTTATATATTAACTAGATTTAGTATAAAGCATGTTTTTTCATTTTGATCAGCACATTATAGAATGTCTATAAAGTTGGCAAACAATTATTTTTAATTGTAGTTGTTTTCAAATAATATGCTCAATCAGTGCATAGGAATAAATAAATACCTCTAATAAAGAGTCCAATTATTAATCTAAGAATGTGCAATAAATTCACTATAGTTTACAGTTCCTCTGTCCTGTACATACAAAGACAGTATCAGAAGAGCTTGACAGTATTACATGCTTTTAATAGAAATTGGTTTATTTCTCATTCATGTATCTCAAGAGATAATGTTTTAAGGACCAGTCTTTAAACTGTTTAGACTACTTTATAATTACGAATCTTTGAGATATATGGCATATGTCACAAAATGTAAAATTCAAAGATTAAAGTAATTCCAAGGTCAAGTTCTAATAATTAACATTTGCTAAATTTGTGTTAATAATTATTGAACAGAAAAATTATTGCTGATTGACATACTAGAATTCTTTAATAAATTAAAAATATGCACATCTGCATACATTTGATTTTTGTTTTCATAATTAATTCCTAACAGATCTTAAAATAGTGAGAGTAAATCCAAAAGGTTATTGAAGAAAGGATAAAAAGGAAAAAAATAATTTTTTTAAAGGCAAAACTCTATACAACTTATAAAAAAAGTTTGTTTGAAGATTTGTAAACTTCTCAGGGCAGAGTAAGTACTGCTGTCTTCTCCCACCAAGACACAGTAATTGTTTTGACTAAATTTTTCTTCTATTTGTTTTTGAAGCTCTCGTAGAATTTCATCAACCTGGAGCAGTGATTCTTAAAGTACAGTTCCCAGATCAGCATCATCCACTTTCCTGGTGATGTGATAGAAATTTCTAGGTCCTCTCTCTACACCCTCATTTATAACAAATGGAAACTTTGGAGCTGGGGCCCAGCAATCTGTGGTTTAACAAATCCTGCAGATGACTCATCACACTAAGGTTTATAAACGATAGTCCTGCAGTAATGAAGAAAAACACATTATCTCTAAATGGAGCAGTTACCCCACTTTATCCTGTTGGAGCTAAGGAAAGGAAGAGGAGATGATAATTAAACATAAAATGAATGAAATGATGTATGGCAGGGAGGGTTGTTAGAAACCAGTAAGATGGCAGCAAAAAGTTGGAAGAAGCAATCAAAACTCTCAATAATATTACTAAGATTTGTTTCCAAATTTAACATTCCCAGTTGTTTTGGTTCATGAAAATGAAATTTAGGCTTTCAATGAACAGTAACTTGTCTCTTTGCTCACAGGGAATACCCAACTTTTTTAAGAATTAAAAATTACTGGCATTTATTTGAGTGGACCAGGATTAGAGGTTCAATCTGTAGACTATGCAAAAGATTAAGTAAATTGGATTTATTAGCAGCAATTTTAACCAATTGATTAAATCTTCAGATGAGCAAATGTCTTTTGTTGAATACCATATAAAGATGACAGTTTTGGATAAAATAACTACTGGATATCTGAGGGAGATTTATTTAGAATTTCAGGGGGAGGGGGTAGACTGTGTTTTATTAAGAGTTCAGGGGATCAGTTTTAGAGCATGTCTTAAACATAGCCTGGCCTAAGTGAATGAGCATAGTTTGTTTTGGTGTGAATCTGGGTTCAAATATATTAGTTATGAAACTTTAACTAGTTTCTAAGGCTCTGGAGAATTACATGAAAATGAGAATGTCACGAGGATGAGAAATAGTACCGGTAGATATGGCCAGGACAGATGGCACAGGCGTATAACTTCAGCATTTGGAGGACTGAGGATTACCAGTCGAAGCCCAACCTGGGTAATTTAGCAAGACCTTATCTTCAACAAGGAAAGAGAGCTGGAGTAGTGCTCTTGCTTAGCATACAAGAAGGGGGGAAGAAAGGAAATAGTACATATACAATTCCCTAGTATAGAGTAGGTATTCAACAAGTAATAATTAGTACTAATAAAGTTCCTTTTATGGTTTCTCTTTAAAAATGGCCACTGGACAACTTTTCTGTCAAACTTTCTCAAACTACCTGTCAGTCATGCTAATCATATATTTTCTAAAGAGTCACTGTGAATTGAAAAGTGAAGAATAACACTTTGGCTGGGCTTGGTGGCATATGTCTCTAGTCCCAGTAATTGGTAGGCTGAGGATGTAGAATCACAGTGATCTCAAGGTCAGCCTGGGCTACACAGTGAGTTGAAGGTGACCTGAACTACAAAGAAAGACCCTGTCAGAGAGAGAGAGAGAGAGAGAGAGAGAGAGAGAGAGAGAGAGAGAGAGAGAGGAGAAGAAGTAGAAGAACAAGCAGAAGAAGAAGAAAGAGAAGGAGGAGGACGAGGAGGAGGAGGAGGAGGAGGGAGACAGAGAGAAAGAGAAACAGACAGACAAACAGACCATCAGTCCTGAGAAACTGGATGAAGTAGAAGCAGCACAGATTAATGCATTTCCACAGGGGAACAGTGTATGGGAAGGGAGAAGAGAAGACTATGACTTATGGAGTTTAGATTTTACTTTTACATCTAGTTTACAGTATGGCATACCAGTTCTGAAGTATTTAATAAGTGACAGACTTTGTCCACCTGGAATCATGAAACTGTCAAATCATTTGGTATGAATCACACTGCTAGTCTAAAAAACTTACAACTAAAATCCAGCAGTCTCTGAAGTGAATTAGCAAATGATAAGGAGTGTACTGAGTCCAGGTGTTTGTACAAAATGTGTATTCCTAAACAACTTTCTTATGGCTCTGTAGTCTCAATTTGCTGGGTAGTTTTTACATTTAGGTATGTTCTTTTGGTAAAGTTGCTTGAATTGTCTGAAGGGAAGTTGAAGAATATTTCCATAAAATAGCAAAAGAACTGCTAAGCTAAAGTATGTTTACATACCCCACTGAGATTTCACACAGAACTGAAAGACAAAATAATCAAGAACCTAAACTGTATCTACTATTTTGAGAAGACAGAGGGGAAAAAGAGAAAAAAATTGTCTACAATAACCAATTTATTTGATGGAATTTGTTCAAAACAGGTCAACCAAATTACTACTGTGAACCACTACTGGGCCGAAGATTGTTTATCACATAGAATGTCTCATCAATGGAATTTTATGTGCAGAGACAGTTTTGGAGTGATCAAAACACAATTAGGTTGTTCTTAAGCACTGTGTTTGACAAACAAGAACCAAAGAAAAGTGCTGGAGAGGTGTTATGAGGTGTTACTCCTTCAGTTCTCTCCACCACCAGGAGTGTGGCTCTGCTGGTATAGGAATGGGGAGCCTAATTCAACGCCTCAAGACAAAAGCCTAGGTGCTTCTTCTCTTTACCAATCATCAACAACTTCTGCAGTTTCTCAAGGCTATAACAAACTTTCAGGATGTTTAATCTTTGCACATTTTAGTAGGTACAGGTACTCTAGAACAAAAGATACTTTTCATGGATTGGTTTCTTTCTTGATGTTCTTTGCTAAAAAGTCATTTTTTTATTCAATAAAATCAAGGTAAAAGTGATCAAAGGCAGTATTTGATTCTCAGGGCCCACTGTAATGACAGTTACAGTATATTACTCAGCAATGCAATTTATGCTTATTGAAGGAACAAATGGCATTTCAGGAAGTGATGTTAGTTTCAGTATTCCTTTGCTATGCAGAATGAAAGATGCTCTTTCCAAAGAACAAGACATTGTAAAACAATAAAATATTTCTTTCAAGATATTAAAGATGGTTATGTAGCATACAACAGTGTGATATTAATAAGGACTCAGAAAAAATTTAATTTTGTGTGGCTAAAGCAATATAGAGATGTTATAGAACTGACACTGCTCCATTGCTCCTTTGGGTATCATAACATTATTATATTTACATTTAAATGAAGAGACTTACACTTTCCAATTTTAGTATTCTTTATCTGTTTTTGCATTTATACTCCACTGATGCAGAATTTTAAGTCTAGAGTAGGAATGAGCCTTAGCTTCTAGCTCAACGTTGTTTTTTTTTCTGTGAGGAAACCACCACGGACATTCAATGACTTACTCAAGAGTCAGGCCACATATTGGCAGAATTAGTCATATAACTATTTCTCAAATGATTTTTAAAAGGTGAAATACATAGATGCTTTATTTTGAAATTGACTTTTCTGTTAGAGTGATGTCTTTTTTTATAGATGGGCAAAATGATCAGCTACTACTTTCTCCTGATTTTTTTCTATTTGCTACTTGTACACAACCTTATTGTATCCATGAAAAATAAAATCCTGCAGAAGAGTATTAATCTACAGAACCATTTCTATAAGAAAAATAAAATACAATTTCAGAATATAGTAACTTCTTATAAAAGAAAATTTGATTTTAATCAGATAAAGAAATCAGACTTATACCATTAGTATGTCAAAGACAAAAAAACAACAAACGTCTTCCCCCCCATCTTACAATCTGAACAACTTTTGAGTTATAAACACTGTACCATTTTTCATAGGTGTTACTTTCTTTTTAAAGTCCTAGTATTTCCTAGGTCAATAAAAATTGAATACCACAATTCTTGCAGAAACTTAATACGAATGTAGAATGAGAAGACAGCCAACTACTATCTAGCTTTAGAAAAAGTTAAGCATATATTCCATTTAAATAAGTTATTTTGTTCAAATAACCACACCACAGCACTATGCTTTCAATTTTCCAGTAGCTATCACTGGCCTCAATTTAAGAATTTTCACAAGGAGTACTGGAAAGTAAAGTCTAGAAAACAGTTTATCAGAAAGCACCAGCATGGGAAACTCCTTGATTAAAAAGATGGGACATGCTTAAATATTTTTAGCATGAACTCAAATAAAATTTATTCTTGGAAGTCAATTTACTTTGCTTTTGACCTCTCCCTTTAAAGAAGGGGAAATTTATGAACATACCAGTTTAAGCATAAAGAAGTGAATACTTGGAGATCCTTATACATTTTATAGATTCTATAAAGGATGGTATGTTATTCGTTACTAAAATAATCAAAACTCTTCTATGCTTTTAAAATGTGTTTAAGAGGATACTGTGTTCTAGCACCTCTTCCATTTTACAAACAAAAAATACATCACTAGGGCTGAGAATATAGCTCAGCAGCACAAACACATGTGTGGCAAGTGTGAGCTTGTGAGTTCAATCCCTGGTACCAAACTAAACCAAACCAAACCAAACCAAACCAAACCAAACCAAACAACATGTCATTAAAAATGGAGATATTCTTATGAAGTTTAGACAATTTTAAATTTTACATTTTAACATTTTCATAAAATTTATAAATACCGATCCTTTAAAAAAGTCTTCCTCATCTACATGGCTTTAAACATGTTTTTTAACTGCACTGAATCCTAATGCTGTCCTTGCTTCACCTGGTAAAACTGAAGAGTTGAAATACAGGATCTTAAATTTTCAGACAATAATGTTTTCTTGGTATTCAATAGAAAAGTGATCTCATAGTATGTATTTGATGAGAATGATTTTTCTGTGGGAGAGGGGAATTACTATTTTTGGTTATGTTTTCAGAATAATACTAACTGCATTTTAAACAATCATATTTACCATTTTATTTTACTATCTTTTCCAGCAGAAAATGGAAAAGTTTTAGTGGCACTTGGAATCTCTTTGTCTCTCAATTTTTACTCTTTCTCCAAATCATCATGGTATCTTTTGATCCTAAGAACAAGTGACAGACTCTGGGTCCTTCAATAAGAAATTAATGCATTTAACAATTAGGGTCAGTGTTATCTCTTTGCATAGACTTGGATTTGCTGAAGTTGTTGAATAAACCCATTTATTCTTCATATCATAAAACCTTTGTGTAATAAATCAAAACACTTCAACAAAGTCATAATATAATCTTTTACTATAGTCCTAATATTATTTTGTTCTTATACTGACAAGGTCTTTGGATAGAAACAGTAATAGAATTCATAAAAATCAAGTCATAATTTGTTAAAGCTTTATGAATATGGATGTTTCCCATTAGAAAACATAGTTAACCTAAAGTAACACTTGGTTAAATTATTTAATATGCGGTTGCTCTTAAACTTTTTTACTTCAAGACAGAAGGAATATAGAAAGGTAAAATGATTAGGAAGCACAGTAAAAGGAAATTAGGATCACCTGAACATTTATACATTTTAAAAATTAACATATACAAAACGTTTAAGTAAATACCAATGGGACTCATTCAAAAGTTCTTTGATACTCTCTTGATATAATATTTAAATTAAATGGTATGTTAACTATATTAGGTATGACAGTTAATTATGTAAAAGGAAAAATACCTTAAATGCCAGATCTAAAATTAATACTAGGAGATAGGGGAAAGTATACATGTTTTCATGTATATATTTAAAAAGAATAAATGTATATACATATATGTTTGTATACACACGGTAACCCTGGAGGGATACACAAGAAAAATTGGTAACATTGGTTGCTACTTTTCACTGTCTAACCATTTGTAGTATTTAAATATTGCACTATATAGTTTTCCCTATTCAACAATATTAAAATCCCACTACTAAAATAAATTTAAAATGTCATGTTAAAGTAAGAACATAGCTTGATTTTTTCCATTATACAAGAAAATATACTAACATTTTTCTAACATCTACCTATATAAATTTGGGCATATTTTATGACAGTTTTTGTGATCTAAAATTCCAATTTTCATATAACATTAAATTGGGAAACACAGTTTTCCTGTACTCCATTACTACAGTATGTGAACTGTGGATTGTCTAAACAGCATGTTAACATCTTTATTCTCTTCCTCTGATGGGCTAATCATTAGTCACCGTATCTTTATGAAAATCAAGAAATCTTTAAGGAAACTTCAGATTTTAAGATTCATAATTGGCAATGATAAATATTACTCCTGCAATATTCTTTAGCTTTAGAATCAATGTTAACTTCTTTTTACAATCAAAACATCCTGCTGAAGATGTTTACTATTTTGGTAAAGACAGACTTCAAACTAAGTGGTGACTAAGCAAAGCCCTCACAAAAAGTTTGGAATAGGATTTCATATTAGTTTTAATTAAAGACATTTAGAAATAACCAGGAAAAAAGATCTTACACATGAATAAATTATTTTCAGAAAACCACTTAAAAATTCAAATTAAGTCTTATTCATTAAATATCAAAATAACTATGAAACAAAACTTAAATGACGATACATACATCAGCTTTCAATTGTAGCTGCTTATAAAAATGAGTATCTGAGGGTATACTCTAATTTCATCCTCTTCAAATTGTGCAGCTTAGATAAATGTTTATTTTACTGAAAATATTTGCAAAATTACAATATAAATACATGATTGTATTAAGATAGTATGACTATATATAATGTATTCTTATCTATAGATATAAAATGAATGCAGTAAATATAGCACACTCTCAATGATTTGTTAGTACACAGTGTTTCTCAGTAAAGTACATACAACCTATTATTAAACAATTATGTAATTTTAAAATGTACATCTCAGGAATTTTTTAGGATGGAAGGATACACTAAATCCCACAATGCCCTTTTTAATTGGTACATATGCAAATTTTGAAATGTTTTATTTATTTATTTTAGTAACAGTAGGCTCGTTGCATTTTCTTAACTTGAAATTTTGTTTGTTTGATCTGGGTATTTAAAAAAATATCAGCTAACCAAACTTTTAATTCTAGTACAGTATCACTGTACTATCTTTTTGTTATTTAAACATATGTCAACAATGAAATAGAATCATTAAAAATTACTTTATCTAGATAAATTCCCAAAATTAACTTTCAGAGTCTTATGAAGAGTCTCAAGTAGATATAGTCTCAAATGCAATACTCATCTGGATTAGAAATAGCTTTTAAAATGTATTCTAATCCTTAAGAATACAAAAGTGAACTCCAAAATTCATTGTTAAATGCATTGGGATTTGTTTCAACTGCATCTTCTACCCTTCTCCATTACACTGATTTAATGGAAAGCTGTTACTTACAACAGTTCCAACACAAACATATGCATGCAAGAGAGATCATCCTACAGATTCTAACTACGTAGTTACTGAAACACATCCCACCTTTCAAGAGACATAAATGTACATCTTCTATATACAAAAGGTAAAGTGCATTATTAAATTAGTGAACTGACAGATTGTCTGCCTGGACCATATAGCTTTCAAATAGACAAATGTGAAATTCTCTCATTAGAACCAATTATTCCAAAAGGTTCCAACTAGCTTTTCCACCCTGTCATTTATTTTTTTGGCCATGCTCTTTAGTGCAAATAAGCTTATGTTTGACTCAAGTTTAAGGGACATGGCAGTTTGGGGCTTTAAAAAGGAAAATTATAAAATGTGGCAGAACTTTAATACCTTTATAGTACATTGCATCTTTTGCATATAAGCAACGGATTAGTGCTGCTTTTAATTGCTAGGAGCATACTGCCAACTATTATGAGGAACCCGTTTCCAAATTCATACTATTAGCTTATATTATTACAGTTTGAGTCTGTACCACATTATGCTTGGATTATTATGTGCAAACATCATCAGTTTTAGCATTATACAGTAAACTAGTAATTTTGGTTACTAACTTCAATGCTCATTTTTTTACTTCTAACATCCAGTTGCCTTAGGAGATTAATATCTTCTAGGCAAGGATCCTGATATTTTGAAGAATACCATGTACACTTGCAGCTTCATTTATAAGTGATGATAAATAAAATGTATATTGCACAGATAAGCATAGTAGCTTATTTCAAAAGATACATGGCAATACATGTCTTAATACCAGAGCTTTGAATTGGATCATACTTACTTATGGCTAATGAATTCTAGGAAATTTTAAATATCAAAAATCATAGTATCACATTTTTCAGTGAATACATTAACTATGAAAAGGTAAAACAAAAGGATTGGTAGAAGCCTTAATGTTAGCGTATATTCATTTTTCTGGTATATATGCATCTATCCAATCTTGAGATAGCAAAACTTTAAAGTATACATACAAGGTAAAAAATTTGGCTGTGTAACTAATTCTTTACTTAAATAATGCATTATTAAACTAATAATATTATATACAATGAATTGAATAGTTATCTTTAAGTCTGATATAGTAACGTGTGTATATATATACACACACATATATATATATATGCATACTCAAATCTTATCAGACTAAAAACCAAAAAAGAAATCATATATTCCTAATGGCTATAAATATTTTAAAAAGGAAGGTTTTAAGAGAGAGCATATACTCATAGCAATCGTGATAGGAACAATTGAACACTGGAATATTCACAGCTCCAGTTTGCCAAAATCTGACAGGTTGATTATTAATAGGCACTATGATGGGCAGCAATAACAATCAGTAGTACAGTAATTCAAGTGCACATCACTCCTTCATATACCAAAAACTACTTTTTAGCAAGCCTACATTGTTATGATATTTTACAGTTAGGATTGTTAAAAAATCTTTGCTACTTTATAGTCTCAACACCCACCATGTGCTATTAACTCTAGTACTAATATTATCTTCTAACCTTCAGTTGTTCCATAGTGATCCAGATGGTCCACATTTTAATGAACTGAGATTCCTTCACACTACTTGAGGAAACGTGACATGTAATCTACAAACTAACACCAGTATGTATGTCTGGGTTACTGATCACCTGTTCTTAAGCAATATAAATCAATGAAATTAACTTTCTTATTTTGTAACAAAGCTTTCTTAGGGACACTATCTGGGGACAAATTTCTGAAGGACAATTTTTAAATAATATTTAAATAATTACTTTTGTAATATATTGAAGAGCTATCTTCTGATCTCAATCCATGCAGCCAGCTCTCATCAATGAGCTATACTTCGGGATTGAAATCAGTGTTCTGGCTCTTAAACATGATTATATGTTCTCATTGTATGGTAAGTTAATAAAGCCAAGGTAAAAGACAATCACTTCATTCAGAATAAAATATAGTTAACAATGAAAGTCAGTTAATACAGTGTGGGTTGGTACACATATACACTATATCCACTTGTTTAAAAAATTGCTTAGGTGTTGAAAAGTTGATGTGGCACTTTCTGAAAAGTAATTTTTAATACAGGTAAACGGATAAGTTGTGTAAAGTAAACCTCTTTAAAGTATCATAAAGAGCACCTTGGATAATGCCTGAATTTTCTTTTTGCATATGCTTACAACCAAAACTATCTTCAAATATTTTTCCCAAACTGAAAATTTGTATTCTAAATGCTTTTAGAAATTTTTTTTCATTCTGGAATTAAAATATCTATAAAAGTCAGGTTTATATTGGAAGTCTGACATCATTTTATGGGTACCAATTGCAAAAGTGCTACTTAAATACAGTATTACAGATGTTTTTGTATCAGTTAATTGGTGCACCAACCCCTCTGAAACTGTGTTAAAGAAGAAACATAAAATGTAACATCTTGAGTCCATTTTATATTTTAGGGAAAAAAATCTATCACAATCTTCAAATTAGCATGAAATGCTAAAATACCAAGATTCTCATAGCAAAGCCACTGGATGAAGCCTCTCACTCAAAAGTGACACAAAAGTAATTCCTGAAACTTTGGAAAGTCAACAAAAATATATGGTACAACAAACTGAAGTGAAGATGGGATTGTAACTATCTTAGGATAACAAATCAGAACTCTCTCATGGCTTTGATACGGCAACTACAAACTGTAGGTTACCACAGTATATGAAATTATAGAATACTACATTAAGAAATATTATGATCATGTATCTTTAAAATTTAATTATCTAATAAGATTTCACTTTTTTGACCCCTACCATGTAATATTGAATTATGCAAAGGACAATATATTTCTATTTGTACTTTTATGGTATTTATGTTATACTTGTGGTCAGTCTCTGTTTCTGTGGTGTCCTACAGGTATGCTTAGCAGCTTTTCATGAAGTAGGAATGAAATACTTTTTTAGGGGGGAATTTGTTAAATAGAAATTCATACTCCCATATTAAGTATGTATATCTTTTTTCAGGATTATATCACAGTGCAATGTAAATCTTATAGTATTTAGAAGGTCAAAATGTCACATTTTGTGCTGATTTGCATACTTCAAAAGTCTGGAGCAGTTGAAACAGCTCAACTGGGAAGGCTGGAATTCCCATAAGAATTATGGTGATCTATGTATAACAGAACATGAGAATCAGACTTCTTGAAGTATATACTACTAGAGGTATTACTAATAACAAAGGCCAAAAAAAAAAAAAAAAAAAGAGAGAGAGAGAAAAAACTTCTTCAAATGATTATGGATCAGTACTTTTAGCCAATTTATGATTTAAAATTTTGCCTGATGGAGTTCAATTTCACTCTAGTCGAGGCATTCTTGTTCTTCACCACTGGCCCTTCTGCCATCCATTCTCTTTTCTTTATGGCTGTTGCAAATTTTCCTCATCTCTTCTTCATACTTGATAAAATTCTCCCCAAACCTTGTCCAAGCTTTGAATGGAACAGTAATAGTATTACGGTAAGGCGGTCTCACCTCACTTACCTTCAGGAATATTCCATATTTATTAGAGCCCACATCAAAGTAGAACCTTTTATTGTCCACTCTGAAAGAAGTCCCCTCTGGGAGTTCAAGCGGGTCATCGTCTCCACCTCTTCGTTCTTCTATGTCTCCTTCACCATAGTCTTCAATTAGCTGAACCAAGGCATCACGAAACTCAATCATTCCTTGTGCAGGGAGGACAATAGTCTGTTCTTGGCCCAAAGTGTGGCCAAAATAACCTATCATGCCAGTGCCCCGCATCATGGTCTGTCTAATCCTTAGGAAGCGACCCCGTTGATTTTCCTTTAGGTCCAGGTAATATTTCCTATTGTCCCTCTCTATGTAGTCTGTTTTGAGGACACTGTGAGGATGCTCTTCAGATCCCACTGAGACTGGAGGGGAGGGTGCTGGGTGCTTCTGCCTCCTCCGGGAGCCTTGCTCTTTGCTGTGGCCATGCTCTTGCCTGTGGCCTTTCAGGCCCAGGTGGGCGTAGTGCTCGATGAAGTCCCCTAGACAGTCCTTCAGCTCTGCTGCCACAGACAGGGAGAGGGTCAGTTTACTCTTTCTGATATTGTCCTGCCGGCCTCTCCCTATCCAGACTTCAGCTATCTTTAGGAACCGTCCCCTCGAGCTTTGCTTCACGTCTAGGTAAAACCTCTTTTTCTGGATGTCCACTCGTTTGGAGGCTAGTTCTTGGATTTCGGCTGCGCCCCCAGCCTGATTAGCGGTGGCTAAAGCGGCGTAGTGGGGGTAGTGAGAGTGCTGGGCCTGCGGATAGAGTCTACTCTTGCTTAGGCCAGAGCCCCCTACAGTCTTGCCTCCACGGCCACGGCCGCCGCCGCCTCCCCTGCGCCTGGCTCCTTCCATCTTCAGCTGCAAGTGACAAACAGACACACGGGGCGGGGTGGGGGAAGGGTGTTGAGAACAATCGCAGCCGCCCTCGGCCCCGCCTCGGCCGCCCGGGACCCCCACACGCACGGCCGGGTTCGCGAGGCCCCGGCCTCGGCGGACCGCAGTAGCAGCTCCCGGCTCCGCACCGCGCACTCAGCCGCCCGCCCGGCCGCCCGCCCGCCCGCTCGGGCTCGCCAGCCCCGCGTCCCCGCCCGCGGCACTCACATCGCCTCTGCCATCACTGCCGCCGCCGCCGCCGATGCCCTTCGCGGCCGCCGCCGGCCCTCGGCCCCTCCGCCGCGGCCGCCGCCCCCCGCCTCCTCCCCCGCCGCCGCCGCTCGCACTGACCCCCGCCGGAGCAGCGGGGCAGGGGCATCGCCCGCGGCGCCCGCCGCCGCCGCCGCCGCCGCCCCTTCTGCGGCCGCTGCCTGGACCTGGGTACCCGCCCGACACCCGCGGGGAGCGGCGGGCGGGCGGGGAGGCTGACGGCGGGGGGCGGGCGGCGGACCCCGCCTCCCGGCGCGGCGGGCTGAGGGAAGAGGGGCGTCTCGCGCTCTCCCGCGGGGCGCGCCCTGACGGAAGCCCAGCGCGTAGGGATGGAGTGTGCGCGCGAGGTGACTGGACCGCTGTGAAGATGGGTATAAGGGCCGGTGGAGGAGCGGGTAGGAGTGCTCTGACTTGCAGTGATTCTGCCGGGATGTAGGACTCTGGCGGCTCACCGGCACCTGCGCAGAGACTACATTTCCCGAAGTGCTCAGCGGCAGCCCGTGTCTGCGCATGCGTACCTTGTCGTCTGGGGGCGGAGCTAAGGGAGAGGGCGGGACTGTCTCCCCTGAGTTGACGTGTTCCGAGGGCGCCCAGGAAGCTCCTGCGTACCTTCTCTGTGGAGCACAGGCATAAAGCTGGTGGATTTGGTGCCGAACCTGAACGCTAGGATTGCAGGCCTTCCTGTTGTCGCGTCCCACGAGTCGTCTAGCTGCAGGAGAAGACCGGTTGAGCTGGCTCTTCTCAGGTAACGTGTTCTCCCCACTAGTGTTTCCGCAGCTCAGTCCCCGGCGTGGCATTCTTAGCTTCAGACACTTTCATGTGTTCAGCTCCGCGGAGCCAGTCCCTGGGCTGTATTTGGAGATTCCTTAGGGGGAAGAGTCCATGTCCTTCCATCTTACTTCTGAAGAAGACGACCCCTGGATGGTAGCCAGGCCTTGTGAGAGCATCTGTTCGTGAGAAAGTGTGTTTATCTGCTGACTCCTCCAACTCGTAGACTGTGGAGTGCCCCTAGGGGCTGTCTTTTCAGATAAGGCCTTTGTTATTGCCGAAATTCAGCCACTCCTTGCTCACCCAAAAGTCAAGGAAAATAACCTGTCTATCATTTAGCAAGTTATGTTGAATTAGAGTTCAAAGATTCTATATTTGTTGACATTTTTTTTTCCTGGTTGTATGCCAGTTTTCTGGATAGGTTTGATATATAAAAGTATTGCTCCCAATTAAGAAGGGTAATAAGGCCCTTAGGATGCTGATGTAGGAGTCTGAAAATCAGAGTAATTTAAGATTTATATGATAATAGACTATACATCATACAAAAAAAGGAGATTGGGATGGTCAGTGCAGATCAGATTATGATATTCTTTTTTTTTTGTCTTTTTACTTTTTATCGGACTGGGGATCGAACTCACGACTGCCTGCTTGCAAGGCAGGCGCTTATGCCGCTGAGCCAAATCCCCAGCCCCCCAGATTATGATATTCTTGAATACTTTGTCCCCCTGCTCCACTTCTCCTTTCGTGGTGTTGGGGATATCTATCTATCTATCTATCTATATATATCTTTTCCTTCTTTTTTCCTCCTTTTCTCTTTCCCAGTTGTTTTTTTCTTTTTGAGCAATTTTTTTCCTTTCACATTCACAATGTCTATTGTACATTTTGGATCTTATTTACTCTTTCAGGTTTTTACACTAGGGAGACTATGATATTTACACATGTGAGTGTGATTTATTTCACTTAGGAGTATGGTCTTAGGTTGCATAAAAGCCTTAAATTTATCCTCCTTTATAACTGAGTAATATTCTATTGTATAAAAAGACCACATCTTTTTTACCCATTCCTTAATTAATGGACATTTGTGTTGTTTACAAGATTTAGCTATTACAAATTGTGCTGCTATAAACATGGGTGCACATATATTGCTGTGGCGTGATGTTTTTAATTCTTCTGAGAAAATAACCAGAAAGGGAATAGCTAGATGGAATGGGACCTCCATTCCTAGAGTTTTGAGGACTCTCTGCACTGATTTCCATAGTGGTTGTACCAGGCTACATTCTCACCAACAGTGAAGAAGGGTTCCTTTTGGCTCAAAGCCCTGCAGCATTTGTTGTTGGTTGATTCTTTGGTGTTAGCCATTCTTTCTGGAGTGAAATGGAATCTCAGTGTTGTTTTAATTTGCATTTCTCGAAAGACCAGTGATGTTGAACATTTCTTCATGTATTTATTTGCCATTTGTATTTCTTCAGCTGAGAAGGGCATATTCATCCCAGATTTCCATTTTTAGATTGGGTCTTTGAAATAGGAGGGGCCTGGTATTTTTCAATTCCTTTATGTTCTAGATGGAAGGCCTTTGAGAGACAGCGGGTTACATTTTTTTCCCATTCTGTGAATTTTCTTTTCACTCTGTTGGTGATTTCTTTTGATGTGCAAAAAGTTTTTAATAAGATGAGATCCCAGTTGTTGATTCTTTGAAGTACTTACTACCTGTGCAGTTTGTGTTTTGTTCATGAACTCTTTGTCTACCCCTCAGGCTTCATGATTTCTACCTACCTTGTCTTCCAGTAGATTTTGTGTTTCTGTTTTAATATTTAGATCTCCGATCCATTTTGATTTTAGTTTAGTGCATGGTGATAGATGTGTGTCTAGTTTTAGTTATTGGCCAAAGCCAATTTTTCCAGCACCATTTATTAGAGAAGCTATCTTTCTCCAGTGAATATTTGGCCCCGTCGTCTAAGATAAGGTGACTGAGTGTCTTTGTAGTTGTGTGTACATGTTCTTGTCTGTTCCATTGATTCTCAGGTCTGTTTTTTTGCCAGTACTATGCTGATTTTCTCACAGTAGCTTTGTAGTAAAATTTCAAGTCAGGAATTGTGGTGACACCCACCTTGCCTTTGTTAGCCACGTTTGCTTTTACTTTTCTAGGTTTCTTCTGTTTCCAAATGAATTTTAGGAATGCTTTCTTTACATCTGTGAAGTATGCAAATGTTATTTTGATCAGAATTACATTAAATTTGTATGACAGTTTTGGAAGTATGGCCATTTTTACAATGTTGGTTCTACCTATCCAAGATAAAGAGATATCTTTCCATTTTGTGATACCTTCTTCTGTCTCCATTTTCAGAGTACTGTAGTTTTCAACATACAGATCTTTTACATCCTTCGTCAGATTGATTCATAAGTAGTTCATTGTTTTGGATGCTATTGTGAAAAGTGTTATTTCCATAGTTTCTCTCAATGAATTTGTTGTTTGTGTACAAGAATGCTGCTGATTTTTGTGTGTTGATTTTGTATCCAGCTGTGCTGCTGAATTTGCTTATTCTAGTAGTCTTCGGGGCTAGGGATTTAGCTCAATGGCATAAGCGCCTGCCTTGCAAGCGCATGGTCGTGAGTTCGATCCCCAGTACCGATTAAAAAAAAAAATTCTAGTAGTCCACCAGAAGGTGGAGTTTTTGGATTCTTCTATGTAGAATATCATGTCTGATGATAATAATAATTTAACTTCATCTTTTCTTGTCCTTATTCCTTTTATTTCTCTGTCTTGTCTAATTGCTCTAACACTTCCAGAACTGTATTAAATAGGCGTGGTGATAGTGGAATTCTTGTGTTATTCCTGACTTGAGAGTGAGAACTTTCAGTTTTTGTCTGTTTAGTATGATGCTGACCCTTGGTTTGTCATAGATGGCTTTTATCAGATCGAGGGAGAGATTTCAATTTTCTGTAGGATTTTTATCATGAATGCATGTTGAACTTTATCAAAAGCTTTTCTGCATCTATTGAGATGACCATGTGATTTTTGTCTTTGGCCCTGTTGATGTGATGTATTACATTTATTGATTTGCGTATGTTGAACCATCCCTGCATTCCTGGGATGAATCCCACTTGGTCATGGTGTATAATCTTCTTGATGATTTGCTGTGTTCTGTTTGCCAGTATTTTAATGGGGATATTTCCATCTATGTTCATTAGGTAGATTGGCCTATTGTTCTCCTTTTTGCTTAAGTCTTTCTCTGGTTTTGATAGAGTAATATTTGCCCCCACGAATGAATTAGGGACAATTGCTTCCCTTCCAATTTCATTAAAGAGTTTGAGGAGTGTTGGCAGTAAATCTTTTTTAAATTTCTTGTAGAATGCAGCTGTAAATCCATCAGAATCTGGGCTTTTCTTTGTTAGTAAAGTTTTTAATTACATTTTCAATTTCAGTGACTGATACTGAGTTATTGAGAATTATGTTTTCTTGATTCAGCTTTGTTAATTCATAGGTTTCTAAGAATCTGTCCATTTTTTCTGTGTTTTCCAGCCTATGGGTGTAAAGATTTTCAAAGTAAAATGTTGATGATCTTCTGAATTTCCACAGGATCTGTAGTGAATTCATCCTTTTTATTCCTAATTGCATGAATTTGAGCTTTTTCTTTCCTTTTCTTGAGGAAGTTAAAAGTTTATCAATTTTGTTCCAATTTGGTTTTTTAAAATTTGTTTTTGTTTTTGGTGCCAGGGCTTGAACTCAGAGTGAAGTTTGGCTCACTGAGCTACACATGTTGGGCCATTTCTAAAACTTTATCACTCCAAGCAGTATCTGTTTGACACCTTTTTTCACTTTTTAAAAAAAAAATTACATGTTTTCAATACATAGTGATTATATTCACCTTGGAGATTTGATACATATACATATCACACTTTGATCTTTTTTTTTTAACTCTTCTTTTTCAGTTCTTTTGGGTATACCTCAGAATGTACTTGTTTTTGATTAACATTTACTTTTAAATATCCAGTTGGCATCAGGACAACACTTTATTCTAGCTATAGGTGGCAAAGGATGTTGTGGCAAGGAACCCAAACATTTAACAATAGAGTCAAGGATTACGATTATTTTGTTTTGTTTTCTCTTTTTTTTTTTTTTTTTTTTCATACTGGAAATTGAACTCAGGATCTTGCGCCTGCCAAGTAGGCACTTGTGTTGCCGAGCTAAACCCCCAGCCCTGGATTACCATTATTTTGAACAACTTTTGCTAGATTTCTTAATTCCACTTGTGGCCAGGGGCCCTTTCCTATGAGATTCTTGTAATTTTGTTTGATGTAAAGATTGGTCTTTCTATTCTGGAAATGACTGTTGAGCTTTGATAGTGGTTGTATTACATCTATGGGTAGTTTCTTAACAATGTTAAGGCTTTCTATAAGTGGAGAGTCTTTCCATGTTTTGGTGCTTTTAATTTACTTCAGCAGCGCATTGTAGTTTTTTTTTTTTTTTTTTTAATTTTGAAAGTAGTAAAGTACAACAAAACAAGACAGAATAAAGCCAGCTGAGACCATGTAGTGAAATTGATACAGAACTTCACAGCAGGTTACTGGAATAACAGTAATAGGTATCACAGTATATTTCGTTATCTTTACAAACAATCACGCATATCAAAATAAAATGAAATACAGAACATTATAGAACTTATCAAAACAGAATATTGAGTAAAGCAGTAC